CATGTCACAAGAACATAGTGGGAATCTTTGGRAGTAGCATACACCTACAGGAATAACAGCAGAACCCACAACAGATGTTTTGGTTCTAAGGCAGCAGCATCCTCAAGCAATGACTCAATACAATTCCATAGGTCAGTAACAAGAACTGCTGTCAGAGCCCCAAACAAGCTAGCTAGCAATGCTACTACTGTCCTTTTTTGTTTTCCTAAAAAGCAAATCAGGTCATTGAATGATGTCTTCTTTATTGGTTCTCTTCAATGATAACTTTATTCATTACTAGTGCTGGTTAGCCGTAGTAGTAGTTGCCATTGCTGTTATTACAAGGATGAGCTTGACTGTGGTACTGCTGTTGCCACAAGGAGGAGTACTTGTKCTTAGTGCTGTTCTTGCTGCAGCTGCTGTTGCTGTGTACTACAAGTACATATATACTGCTGCTGCTTGCTGCAATGACTGTTGAGTTTAAGCATTCTAATTATTTACTACAATAAAAAAATAATTCATGCTATTGAAAGAGTTAATTAATACTTCGAAGAAGTACTGAAAATTAATGTTTATTTACCAATAATTATCTCCTACTCTGCTGACAATTATTTTTCTTTTGGGTGATCCCCAAAACAAGTAATGATATGCCCCTTTTCTGTTGGACCTGTTTGCCATTATCTACTTGTTCTTACAGTTTGGCCTGTCCTCCATTCATGTGTATATTAAAAAACGCATGGTGGGGGGCCCTCCTGGATCTATTTCTAATAGTTTTATGTGGAGCGATTCCTGTTGTTCTAAAGTACTTGATTTGATAGACGGACAGACAGAAAGAAGTTAGSATAACTTGTTCTAGATTTAGTAGTACACTGCATTTAAATTGTTCGACAGAGCAATAAGTGAAACATTGTTTGGGATAATGATGTACAAGATCAGAGTAAGCCCTTTGGYATCAGGTTCATCCTTTCCATTAAGTTAGGTTCCACAAAGAAAATGCATTCAGATAGCCCAAAAATTCAGCTTGAGGCAACCGTAGAGGTGCACTACTATGAGTCATTCATCAGAAACAGAGGCAGCAGTACTKCTAGCAATCAATACCTTGGCATTGTAGGGTCAATTTCTTTTTGCCACTTCATGATACCACCTTCTAAATTATACAATCGATTTGCATCCACACCTAGCTCAGCTAGACGTTTACATGCCTTCTTTCCTCGAACTCCAGCTTTACAGTACACTAATATATCGCCCGATTTAGGAACATTCTCGACCCTCACCATCCGATGTGGAACCACTTTGTCAGTAAATGGTAGTGCCACAATATCATTCTCTGTCTTTAAGCGGACATCTAGGACCCAAGGCGTCCAACCGTCTGAGAGTTTCTTGAGGCATTCTTTCGGTTCAATAGGCTGGAAAGATGCTTGTTCTTCTGACTCGAATGTCTCAAGCTCGTCCATGGTTCTACCGTCGACTTGTTTTTCTTCCTTAGCATCTGAAAGGTTCTCTTTGGAACTGCTTTCTGCAATCGTCTTTGGGCCTGCACAGAAACCTTGATAATCTATCAACTTGTTGATGGTTTGTCTTGCATGATGCTTGACCAATCCGACATCACTGAATTTCATCTTCATTGCATCGAATACCAAGACGCGACCACTGGTGATTTCTTCCGATTTGCGATTGAGAAGAATTTTGATAACCTCGGTCGCTTGAAGACAACCCATTGTACTGATATGACGGAAATGGAACGGCAAAATGGAACGGCAAAATGGAACGGCACGATATCCAGGTTATAATAGGTCAGATGTTGCCGTACTTAGTTCTAGATTTCAGCACAGCATTATTTGCACCCCTTGAAAATGTACTCACCCCGGAAGGACACCCAAGACGCCACCTTCGGCACAAGATGGTACATCTCCGGGTGGCGGAGGCGTTGGTAACATATCTCGATAATTCGGTCCATTTTCATAGTTAAAAACACTTAACTGTCCTTCAAAGGCCAAAATTGCCGAATACACCCATGGTGTGCCAACAAGCTCGCAAATGTCATTAATCAAGTATTTGGTGGGAAAGTTATCAGAACCATCAACAACCACATCGTACGGTCTATTTTCCTCGAAGCCACCCGAAAGGATTCTTTGAGCCGTCGCCGAAGTAAATTCTTCTTCGTACAGACGTACATTTACAAACGGATTAATGCTGTGTATTCGCTGGCGAGCAGATTCGCATTTGGAAGTCCCTACCGTTGACATGGAATGAATTATTTGTCTTTGAAGGTTAGACGTATCAACCACATCAGCATCGACGATTCCAATATGACCGACTCCGGCTGCGGCCAAATATCTTTCCGTCGTACATGCATGAAAACATTGAACTACACTTAGTCAAATAGCAAAAATAAAAAGAAWATTTCCATAATCATCGAACTTACAACAAGCATGGCGATCCGAGACCCCCTGCACCAACTACCAAGACAGATGAGTTCTTTAGAGATTTTTGACCCGCCATTCCAACRTCCTTTGTTGATATAATTGTAAAAAGAGTAAGACAGAGCGAATCAAGCGGAATGAGTTCTTCATTTGCATCCACCYGAAAGTCTTCTCAAGTTAAAGCCTCTTGAGTATATTATGCACAGTATCACGACAAATCAACTCACGGACAAGACCAAGTGACGCGAATAGCGAGATATTTCTTCATTGGTCAACGACTGTTCTGAGGAACAATTATTATCGTCTCGGTGCCCACGTAGTGTGGTAATAGCGGCCGGTTCGACTTTTGCCACTACCCTCAACAGCCGTCCCATTACATTTCGGGGATTCGTAAAGGCATCCGACGACACAATAAAAAGAGTGAAGGCAACAAAAACAGTATTTTTCATCTTCACTGAAAACTTATAAAAATGTCGATGGATAGTCGATTGCGTTGCTTTGTATTCTGAGCTYCTCCGTAGTCACACCGGTACGTATTTCGTGCCAATAGATCGTTTTTGCTTTCTGYTTGTTGTGTCTACGATTTTTCCCGAAGTTCGTTGTCTCAGGCGCACGGATCATCGGTTACGGTTAATGAAAATGTTTTCGAGATCAAAGATTTGTAATTTGTAAGATTTCTCGCCATCACCTTCTGAAACCACGAGTTCCTGGTACTTTTCTCAGTCCTGTGTTTTTGTACGGTTCTGGTGGTTAGTATCGGTAGGGTCAAGTAAGTACAGTACCTCGGAGCAAATTTTTTTGCACTGAAAATTGCTTCGTAGATTCAYAAGACGGAAAAGAAAATTGAAGTACGAAGAAGGAAGAACGACTACAATTGCCATTGTCATCGCCAATATTATTGTAGGACACCGCCATTAAGTCTGACATCGAATGTATGATATCAACGAAATGATATCAGGAGCGCTAAACAAATCTGTTTCGATTGACGGCGATGCAAAGACGACGTCATTTATTCCGTCGAAGGTGTGGCTTGGTGAGAAGAAAGGATTCTATTTCGGCACGGGAAATGAAGGAACGGGATATTACGTTGATAGGATACAGCAACAAGAGAGTGATTCTGTACCAAGAAAAAGGAAAAAAACAGTGAAAATAGCAGAGGACCAAAATGAAATGAAGCTGTTGCTCGAAGAATTGGAAAAAAAAGCGGAAGGGTCTTCTATCTTAGAACTTTCAAAGAAAGGGGTTTACGCTGCCTCAAAAGCATTGGCGAATGTCTACAAACAGAACATACGAAAACGAGTAGAGTATTCTGATCAACCGGGAAATTATATGGATAGCGAGTTGGCTTTGTATGAACAAATAACTGCTTTACAGGCTCTTGCAACGGATACGCAGGTYTACAGATATATTGAAAGTAGCAATCTCATGGCAACACTTATCCAGCTCCTTGCGCACGAGAACACAGATATTTGTGCGAGTGTTGTATCTCTTCTTTTGGAATGGATCGACCCTTCGTTGGCAGCTGAAGACCCATCGGTACTTCCGCTACTGGGATCCTTTGCTGCGATGACAATGGAAGTGTGGGAAAGAGTTGTRCTAAACCTTGATCGATTTCGAAACGACGAGGAATCTCAAGACAGAAATCTAAAAGGCGTTGACAATACACTAGAATTGATGGAAAACATACTCGAGCTTGACGGACTACTTGCCCCGAACGGTGTTCTAGGAGAATACAAAAGTGTTCACACAGCTATGGTGAAAGATAGTACGATAGTTCCTTGGCTTTTCAATACTATTGAACATGAAATTGAAGCACAGACTGGAAAMGAACATTTAAAAGCGAAATGTTTGGAGTTACTGTCGTTGCTTTCCCAGGACATCAACGTTTTCTCTGTTCTTCCAGATTGGTCGAAACTTGAAGCTACGATAAAGGAAAATACTATTTCTGCMAAAAAGAGAAAGATGGATCAAATAGACGGAGTCGAAACATTAATGCAGTCTATCGCAGTTTATCGTAAGAAGCAACCCAACTCGGATGTAGACATCGAGATTTTGGAAAACTCTTGTATCACACTGAGTTCGTGTATTTCCTTTTCTACTTCAAATCTTTCCGCCTTTCTCAACGGCCAAGGAGTGGAGCTTGTCATTCGTTGTTTGAAAGAAAAGATGCACGCTGGTGGCTCAAGCCTCAAACTTCTTGACTTTTTTGGAGACGACAAATTATTCAAGTCTGGTGCAGAAAGATTGGTGATTGCCGGGGGATTGAAATATTTGTTCCCCATTTTCATCGGAACCAGAATCCCGAAACCAGACGTTCGAGTTTCGAGAAGTGCCAAAGCAAAGCGTAAATGGCTGGCCGAACTGAAAGCTCAGATAATACGAATATTTTATGCACTATCATTTCAACTTGACGCACAATCCCCCAAGGATGCTATGTCTAGGTTCGTTGCCAAGTTCGTTGAGGATGACCTCAAATACTGCGATCGCCTTGTCGAATTGTTATTGGTTTATGACGAAAGAAAGCGCAAAGCAGAATATAGCTTTTTTCGGTCAGATATCGAGGACGTTCTTGATGCTAATCAAGTGACTTTGGCTTCATTTGAGGCAAAACTCAACGGCGGAGGAGATATTTGTAACCGTCTCGCGGCGATAACTGCATTTGTCTGTGCGAACTCGAAACGTTGTCACGAACGAATTTCGCTACAACTGAGGATGCAGCAATCTGGTGTGAGCTTGATCAAAGATGCTTTGAATGAATTTGCTGCTTCTCTTGAAAGCGGACGTCAGAAGCGACATATAGAAAGTTTATCGGAGCAAATTTAAATTTAAAAACTTCTGTCATTTCACTGTCAACATGCTCGTGCTKWAGAATTTTTAAGACTCATTAACAGAGGTCGAAGGTAATGAAATCCAACAATTTGACTCCAGAAKTGTTAGGAAGATCACGGCATGCGTCAACCGGGCCTGCATTTGCATTGGAAAGCGCGTGGTTTCGTTCAGAGAAGCATTCGGTATACGTACGACGAAAAGACTCCATCAATATCAGCACATGTACTATGAAGTAGTAGTGTCCTTCAAGTGGATCTAAGACATACCAATAAACGCTTTCAAGAGATTCAAGTTTATGGGCAACTTACGAAATCCGTCAGGAAAAACAAGGAAGTCCAAGAGAACACAAGCGGAAAGGGAAAAAATAACTATTTAGAAATATAATTCATCAATGTACTACCCAAGAAGAAGGCAAAATGACTTCGATTGTCCGACACCAAATTAGATATCCCTTTGAGATGTTTTGGGCTTTCGGTTAAATTTTGTTTCCCCTTTCGAAAGCTAAATTTATTTGTCTGTGAACCGAAGCCCAATTTTTTCTGAAGCAATTCCACTAGCCGATAGTCGTCATCCAAAATCCTGCCTTGACTCAGTATRTTACCGAGAGCGATTGTGGGTGAATTAAGTTCAAGGTGACGAACCTCTAAACACGATTCAAACGCCTTCCTTAATCGGAGCGAGTTCGACAAGTCGACCAAAAATTGATGTTCCTTCTTCGGATATTCTTCACYATTTCGTCGACTCCATCGATTCTCGTCAGCTGTCTTTTCCATTGCTACAAACCATATGGATTCAGAAATCCATGATACAAAGGCCATAGTTTCAGAGTCAATCTGCGACCAATGATTTCCGACTGAATCGGGCTTCATGGACAGCGGACTTGTGGTACTTCTCAAGAGTGGGATGAGATTATTCCATGATGTATACGGCCAAAAATCCATTTCTCTACTCGAAATCAAGCCATTATTAAGATCGTTCTCAAGCATGGTATCACTATCGGTTTCTTTCCGTGTACTAATTCTGCGATTTGCCAAGAGCCTGCTCKGTAGGTTATTTTGCATCGACGATGCGAGATAAATCGCGGGGAAGGAAGAGAAAATGTCACTAGATTCATAAAGAAATTGTTTCGATTTCGACGATCTCTCTCTTGCAATAACCAAAGGATARGTTTCTGGTTTTGAACGTAGCGACCTTAAATCAGAAATGTCAACTACCACTGCAACTGCTAGAGACGTTCCATTTCGGTCGTGCAATCGTAGAAATTCTTCTAGCTTCGCCTCTAAATCCAGGTTCGGCCCAAACCTATCTTCTCCAGGTTTTTCAGGAAAAGATGATGGTAGGAATCCGTACTGTCCAATAATGTCTGAACTGAATGAATCAAAATAGATTGACGATATCGAAACAAAGGACTGAAAAACCTTGCACATCCATTTCTGAATACAAGTGTTCGATGATAGGTTTAAACCCAACTTGATCTTTTGGCAGCAAATAATTGTATCTAGAAATCTTCAGACAAAATGCAAGGTGTGAGTAATACAATATTTCCTATTTCTAAGAAAAGAAAAACACGAGTATTAATTGAGGACGCACTTTAGGGACAGAACCGAATGGTTGAACACATCACGTACCCCAATTTCCCTAACGAAGAATATGTTTTCAACAAATTACACCACAAATCAACGTCTTGCACAGCACTCTGTACGAGGCGAGTCGCTTTAGAGTTTTCTGCTGTAATGGCGTTCTGTAACACGAGTCGGAAAGAACCAATCATTTTGTCCACGTCGACGATCTCAGTTGAACACATTTTTCTCTGCTGCTCGATCAAGTTGCACCTAATTTCACATAATRACTGAACCACAATGGTCACAAAAAGATATTTACAATGGTTTGTTTAGTGTAATTTYTTCGCAAAGCACAAATCGCAGTAATATACAATAGATTCATACCATAATTGCTTCTATGGAGTCGGCCAATATTCTCGCCTTCTCTTGATACGATGAATTCATACCATCCCTCGTGGATGATTCTTGAACCGCTGAGCTTACAAATGGGTCGCAGAGGATCTCTCTGATCCAGCGAAGGTCTTCAATGCTTTTTTCATACAGCTTTGTCAAATTATGTGCTTGATCATTTGATTCCATGTGTGTGCACGCCGAATAAATAGCTTCTAATCCAGCAAAGATGATCAAAGGATTGCAAAACTTCTCAAATTCTCTCGTTTGAGAACAGCTTTGACTATCGTAAGTCCCCATTAACCATGAAGTGATCGGAGACCTAGGAGATGAAGATCGATATGAGCTAGGAGAACCCACAATTGCAGCAGGGGAGCTGGGCTCCGAGTGTATGGGAGATACTGCAACGATAGTTGAATCCAATACCATGCACGCTTTTTGCACGTTGGAGTAGGTTGCGTCCTTGAGGTGGGAACAGAAGGTTTCGAAGACATCATACAGTTTGATCAGAGTCATTATTAAAACAGGAGTTCGTTGAGGAGAACTGGGACTTGGTTCGATATCTATCATTCTGTTGTTCAGGTCACAACCGATATGCTTCGATGGTGATGACACTGATAAAGTACTCTGGGCAAGACAATGAAATGCTTTCGCCCACGATTGGACACTCTCATCTTCWGCCACTTGAGAATTGTCATCACGGAATTCTTTCGGCGACGCAGGTTTAAACAATTGTCTTCTGCTTTGAATCACAGCAGGGAAAGAAGTTGATCTACTTTCCAATTCGATCTTTTTCCAAGAAGAAGATGTTAAGGTTTGTTGCCGTCTAAGCTGTTCCATCGACAGTAACTTTGGATCCATAACTATCAGCTACCGTGCACTAGATGGCAATTTCTTGCGAATGCCCGAATTACTTCCAYAAACGATACTGTATCCAGCCTCATGATATCAGACTTCGAAACTCCAAAACCGATCTTTTTTATCCATTTCTGTACTTTGTAGATGGAGAAAGAGGAMCAAACGTTACGAGTACGAAGTAGAAGTAGGTTTCATTTACTACGATGTTCRGCAGTACTACCGGTACTGGTAGTACTGTAGCAGTAGTCGTTGTCGTAGAGTACGTACCGTACAGTAATACCCCCCCGAGACGAGAAAAAAAAGTTTGAACCAGTTTGTTTCGAAAGGCGAAAAGCATGTCGATACCGTATTTACGACAAGTACGTACTGTACGGAGTACACCACTCGTACCGGACAGGTACTGTTTACCGTTCTTGTACAGTATTTCCAAGTTCGAAGTACGAGTAAGTATCGTACGTACGATACTCTACGAACTCCCAACGTGCTGATTAATTTTTCGGAAAAAATCAGTGCCGTGTCGTACAAGGAAGTACGAGTACCGTAGCGTTCAGTACGTACAGTTACAATCGTGAAAAATATGAGGATCCACACAAACGGAATTTTTCATTCCAAATAGAAAGGCATTGATATCGGCTGGAGAGTCAGGTGAACCAGAATGACGCAGTCCCAACCAGAGCACATGATAGTGGATGATTGCGATGGGTCTCTCCAACAACAAAGCCTTGTGCGACGCTTTCCTAGAGTTGGCGCCCAGTTCCAAACAAGGATCTCCAAGTCGACGGGACCAATCGTTCGTCCTACCCCTGATCGAATGTCGGTGAATTTTCCATTTCTTTCAGAAGAGGAAGCCAAAAAGCGAAATCGTCTGTGCGGTAATGGTATGTTAGTTTATCTACTTTGTCCTTTTTGATAYGCATGGTTAAAATCTGCTCGCAAGCCATGGGGCGATCTCCGAGGTGGATATTTCGGTAGAGAATACAAGAAGTAAATGATGACGAATGAAGCACTGCACCCGTTAGAGTCTTTAAATTGCTCTCATGAGATAATATTCCAGGTTTTGCACTTCGCCATAGAKGCTCATTCACGAAACCGAATTTCATCCCAGGTGTTTGCAACCAGGTCTTTCAAACTAAGTTGTATCATCTCATCATTACATCTTTGTCTCCCTTTTTTTCATCGTTGTTTGATTTTGCTTCATTGATTGGAAGCGTTGGCACCACTTGGTTCCACCGAGGGCGAAACTCTAAGAAATCTGAATCTGAAGTTTTCTATACGAAAAAGCAATCGAGGTGGTTCGCTTATTCACTCATCGGTAAAGGATAAGGCAGAMTTTTTGAACTTCGTTCGACCTTTCATAGGTTCAATATCAAATCACGTTAGACCACAGATCACAAATGAAGCTTGGGTCCAACAYATGATACACCTGCACAGTACAGGATCGATAGGAAAGAGAGGCCGCTCTTCTCGTGGTGTTGTGAAACGGAAAAGGCCGGAAAATGAAGAATTGGTATGGAACTTGGAGAAGATTCTTGAACGTCTCAACAAAAGGGCAAGGGGTCATGTAGATTGTGATATCCTAGGGGAAGAACAAGCTGTGGCTCTAGAACACCTGAGGCTCTGCTACGATGGAAACATTGAAGCTGCTGAGTTCAACACACTAATAAAACTCTCGGGAGGGCAAGGTAAGTGGAATGCTCTTACGAACACACAATTCAAAACATCATTTAGAAGCATCATGTTGTCCTAACCAGGTCTTTTTCACTCATAATAGCTTGGAAAATGCGGAAGCGCGAGGAAAAGGAGCGTACAAAACGAAAATCAAAAACACCTTCGCAACAGACGTCAGAGTCCTGGCGGGATATGTACGAGTTTTCCACTTTGCCGTATGTGCGAACAATGCTAGGACAAGTGCAAGACGATACAGGGACTTTTTACACCGTGAAAACAAAAATGTCCCGAATGCATGAAAATCAATGGAGTTATCACGCTGATGTCAATTTAGCGCTAGAACCTGACGATTTGAAGGGTGCCTGGAGATCTATTTTGGCTTGTGGCAAAGCAATCGAACGACAGCTAAATAGTGAGAGTCTTGGTGATAAAAAGCCATTGCTCTGTACTTTGTTAACGTTTGTCAATAATGCATTTGCTCTTCCTACTCCGGAATCTTGTTTCGGTACACAYCATGTTATGATTGAAGAAGTTTCCAATACAATGATTTCCATTTTGAATCATGTGAAGGAAGCCCAAAACATTCACGCCGAAATTAGAGATAAAATTTTTGAGGAGTCTAAAACTGGAATCGATAGCGATGATCTTCTCAAGTTTCTGGACACAAAATATAGTACTCTACCAATTCGGTTGAGAGAAATCGACAATTTGTATAAGTTTCGAGAGATTGTAGTCAAATGGGAAACCCGTCTTGTCCGAATGCTCTCTGTAGACGAAGAAGAACTACTAGAAACTAAACAAATGAAGAATTACTTGAGAATTGCGGAAGAAATGGAAGAAGAAGCCAGGGCYCACGGCTATAGATCGAAGTCGTTGGCTCAACTCARCGCTCGACTCAATAAAGCATATGATCTGAGGAATCGTATTGTAGGATGGGAAGACGCATGGAGACAAGGAAAGAGGTCTACGATCAAGACTGTCGCTGCGTTTGTTAAAGAGGCGAAGCGCATCAAGCTATATTCTCCCGAAGTATTGAAGATCTTTGAATTTTATCGTGTTGCCGAAGAATGGATTGATAGAGCAAACATAGCCATACGATCCAAAATATCTCTGGACGAGATGAAGAACTTAATATACCGAGGAGAAGAGATGCCGATAGATTTATCTGATCACATTGATAAACTGAAGACGAAACTGCGTATCGCTCAGAAGTGGCTAGAGGGACTCGATGAGATTGTACCATGCAAAAAAAATAACGAAGGRAAAATATTGGAAACGTGGGAAAACTTGCAAACTTCTCTGCAAAACGGGAATCACAGTCGATTATCTGAACTATCGTCGGAAGGAAATAGGATACCTGTTGATATAATTGATGTGAAATTACTTCAACTTGCAATCGATGCAAGAAACTGGACTGTCAAAGCACAGAAATGGACTCCCAACAATACCGACAGCAAAAGAGGGAAATTGTGTGATTTACGGGAACATCTAGAAAAGATCAACTGTTTGCGTGGTAAATTACCATTACAAGAAATTGAGAGAAAGAATTGGAAACCTGCCGGGGAATACGAACTAACAGCCATTATTACCGATGCTGATTCTTGGTTGGAGAAGGTACGGCGCCTATAAATTACCTTTGTAAGGACTCTCGTCTTTTTTCGATCTAACGCTCTTTTCATTTATTCTTTGACAAACGTTTAGTACAAACACTTTTTAAGCAATGACAATCGCAAAAACGATGTGCGGAGGTGTCTTTCAATGGCGAAACTCAGGTCTATTGTTCAAGAGGGAAATTCGATTTACGCCAACATGGGAAACTCGATCTCAAAAATCTCACGTATATTGGTGAATGCAGAAAATTGGTATGAAACGAATCTCCCGATTCTGAAATGCTGCAGAATTGCTCCAGACTCTGATAGAGTGGATCATTTGCGGAAACCGGTTGTTGGGATTCATGAAATGGCTGAAGCAGCCGAAGCAGCTAAATTAGATGTTTCGCTTGAGTTGGACGAAACCGTGAAGCTAAGAGAGCTTTTAGAAAGGTCGAACACCTGGAACGATAGAGTTGCTTTGATCGCTCCAAAACGGAATAAACGTCACGGCAGAGGAGGTAGACCAAAATTTACACTGAAAAATTTAATTGATTTGATTGAGGAGTCGTCAAGTCTACCGATAGATACAGATGAGAATGTGAATCGTTTACAAAATCAGTTGGATTCTGTCGAAACTTGGAGAGCAGAGGCATCGAAGCAGCTAGAGGAAATTGTTTTTGGGTTTCATGACCTGAAATCTCATGTTGATGATGTCTATGGTGAGGCAGAAGACTACAGCATYGATAGAATATCAGAAACAGGTGACGCCGATTTCGAGAGCAAGAATGATCACCCTGAGAAGTTGTCACRCGAAAGCGTAGACATGGATAAAAAGAAGAATGATGATAAATCGAACGTAATCGCGACGGAGAGTAAGTCACCCGCCATGGCGTCAAAGCATATCATAGATTCAGATGAAGAAATTTCAAAATCTGTKCGGGGGTCGAATTCCACTTTAAGGGTTCTTAGACTGATCAAAGAACTAAACGACGAAGCAAAAGGTATTAGCGTGATCACAATAGAAGGGGAATTAGGGGAACTAATGGACTCCGTGTCCAAATGGTGTACTAAGTCTTTTAAATACTTGAATACACCACGAGAAGTATTCGACAAAAGATATTTCGGCGCATTTGATAGATTCATCGTTGAAGGTCAAGATCTGTACAATATGTCATCGAACAACAAAATAAGTTCTACCGATACCCTCTCGAATACACTCGATGTCCGTCTGAACAAAGCATGGGGGTCCGTTATAAACGATCAGCTTCGCAGGCTCATGATCTTGAAAACTGAGAGAGAAAAGTTTGAAGCTTGGTGTCAACGTGCAAGCCAGATTCTTGCCGACGAAAAAAAGTTGACCGCGGAAAAACTGGCTGAGCTTGCTAAAGACAGTAGGAATTTTCCAGCAAGTAAGTAATTKATTTGCGTTGACCATGATATTTGCTTGTCACAACCAAGTTCTTACATTTTGATTCTCTCTATTGATAGATCGGGATCTTGTGAGCAAGATTCGGGGACTGTCTGTCAAGTTTTCGAAATGGACTAAAAAGACGAAAGGAATATTAGAATCCAATGAAAAAATAAATTTCCATGACGCAAAGAGTCTTATTGAGGCGGGAGAAAAGTTTCAAGTGCAAAGTGCAGAGCTCAAAAAGTTGAAAGGAGAAATTAGAGCCGCTCGTAAATGGAGTAGTAAAGCAAAGGAATGCAATCTTGATCAAGGTTCCATCCATGTCAATGATGTAAAACAGCTGATTGATGAACACGATTGTCTCTTAATTGAAATGCCCGATGAATTGGACATTTTGAAGCAAGCTACTGTAGGGTATTGTATCTGCAGACGGCCGTACGATGGATTTATGATTGGCTGCGATCACTGCGAAGTAAGTGTTTACATTTCATTCATAAATTCATTCATTTTTTGTTCAAATTTTATTGAAAGATGAGATCACTAACTCTATTTTCGATAAATCTACAGGAATGGTATCATGGTCCTTGTATTGGCATCAGTGAATCAAAAGCGGATAGATTTGAAAAGTTTACATGCATCCGATGCTCTACGAAAAAAATGTTTCATGCAAGTGCCAACACTGCGGTGGGGATTGTTAGAAAGGTGAGTTTTCTTCACGACTTCAAATCTTTAGGAGAACATATCTCACATTCAACTTACAATGTTTTAGTGGACATGCCATAAGGCATTGAAGAAAGCACGGCAAGTCGAATTTCAGAAATTGCAGCGAAAAGACCGGAAAGAGAGGAAAGAGATAGCAAAATTAACCAATAGCATCAGGCAGTTAGAGGAACAGTTGTCACAAGCAATATGTACCGACCAAGCCGACATGCAGTGCAGTAACCAAACAAAACTTGAGAAAAGAGTCGATGAAGGTGTCATAATTGCCAATAATCATGATAAGAACGAAAAAGAAAATCTAGGCGAACAGGTGAAAGGCCCATCCGAAGATGTTATTTCCTTAAAAATTGGCGATTCAGAATACACCCTTCATGATGAAAATCCAATGACTTCAAATGAAACTTCAAAAAGGTTATCTTGTCGTGGTGGGCAAACATCTCATTTACTGGAAAAAGATAAGGGGAACATGACTGAGGCTACATGCCTTTCGGAAGGTGTCATTTCCAAAGCAAAGATCAATGAGACTTCGATTCCTGTGCCAAAAGATGGTAAGAATTTTTTTTTATTTTGTTGTTCATTAACTTTGAAATAACTCATAAATTGTTTTGCTTTTGCTCGAATGAAGACGAGATCATGTTGAAAATCAAGAAGCTAAGAACTTCTCTAACCCAGTCCAGGATAAGATTGCAGAAAGTTACTTCTCAATCACAGGAGAGGTCGCGTGTCGAAGCCAAGGAGGATCAGCATTCCAATGCTCTTCGGGACTGGTGCCTTAAAATTCGATCTGAGGTGCTTGCACCTTCTACTGAGTCTCAATCAAAACGAAACCAGCCACAAGCTAGCGGAATCATGCCACCCATAATGCCTCAAATCATTGGCGAAGCAAGAGATTTGGGGGTATCAGATCTTCCAGATGTAAAAAGGATGATAGATTGCTTCAAAAGCCTTTGCTGGAGTTTCTCAGCGATGACTATACTACGTCACAAGCCATCAATTTCAGATTTTCAACATCTGATTGCCGAGGCATCTAAATTCAAGATGCCTGACGAAAAGGCTTTAAAGACCATCAAGTTCATGACAAACAAAGCCTCCCAGTGGCAATCTAAAGTTCACAAGGCCATCTCTCCAAAAATGGGTGAAAAGAAATCATTCAATGTGTCAATATTGAAAGGGCTCAAATGCAAAATTCAAGAGCTGCCTTTGGTAATTCCAGAAGAAAGAATGCTGCAATTGGTGATTGAGGATGATGGTGCTCGCCATTGTGTATGCGGGGGCGGACGTGATGGAAAAGGAATGMTTGAATGCCTTGCTTGTCATCAAAATATTCATCTGGCCTGTGCAATCAAGCAAAAATCTAGTTTAGAAGGAAAAGAAAGATGGCTGTGTCCTTGCTGCGGAACGCTCAATATTTCTGAAATAAARCTTCAAGTTGGACATGATGCAACTGGCCTTGGAACCTCCGAGGTGCAAAATGCGAAGTCCAAAGGTGAAGAAGCATCACCTCACGCCCCAGATCCAACCCAATTGTGGCCTCCTTTTGGTCTAAAAAACTCACAATCTGCTATAGAAGCATTTGGTTCCCATTGCTTAGCAATTCCTGACATACACAAGTCAGAATTATACAGGGATGCTAAAGTAAGGATTCCTGCCGCAACAAGTTCTATTGCACTCTTACAGAAAGCGGATACATCCACGAAAGTTTTTGGGAAAGACCAGACCTCAACATCAGATATTCAATCTAGTCTCTTCACCACTATCGAGAACGTGCCACTTGAGACGAACTCAAAAGAAATAGCAGCGAAGTCCTGTAAAGAATCTTGCACATCAGATAAAACCAAGGATGACCTGATGGGACTCCAARTCAAGCCAATGAAAAGTCCGTCAAACTTCATTGAGACTAACCAATCAAAAATTGGGATCAATTCYAATTTGATCCTTCCACCTTTGCAGTCAAATGGTCTAAACAGCAGAGTGGTCACCAATGTTTCCAATCTGTGTAATGCTGTGGCAAATCCTTCGAGTTTATCAAGCACTCCTGATAATCCCTCTAGTACTCCTTGCTGTGCCAGTCAGTCAGAAAAAAAATGGACTGACAATGCGAAAAATCCAAACAACACCACATAACTTAGAGGTACGAGCAAAATATTCCGAAGGTATAATTAATTCTTTACTTCGCAGTGCCATATGGTAGATCTGATTTAGGCAGTTTTGGTTGTTTCCTGGTGAAATAAATAACATGTTTCCGAATCAATTATTTACTATCTAAACAACTCCAATATTCTTCAGCAAGATACATTGCATACAATGCACAAACAATATAAGACATGATTAATCGTCTTTAAGAATCAAATCAATCATGTTGCCTTCGCTRCAGAGCATCTCATACGACGAAGAAATCATTATCGTTCTCGATGATTGGCTRAACTTGTTTTTGAGTCTCTCCTACCATTCAAGCATTCTGAGCGAAATCTGTCCCCAAAAATGCATTCCGCATCTATTGAACAACTCTGGGACAGCAAAATTGTTTGGTCACATCCCTAGAATTTTGTTTCCTTCATGCAGCTCGACCATAACCCTGGTAGAGCACAAATATGAAACGCAGTTCTCGTATTTGGATATGATTTATCCAGAAGATTTCTTCAATAATGAAATTGACAAACTCAGAAGAAGAAAGTAAGCTGTAGTACTTCGACTGCAACCTTCTTTTCCTCTCAACATTAACTTGCGGGAACAACCAAATTTAAACTATAAAAAGAAAGATTGAATTCTGCGTCACTCGAATCTAACTATTCTCACCTAATATGGAGTAAAGAGCAACAAAATTTGTAGCAATTTTTGTCGTTGATGCATTTGGCTTATCTACCGTACTAAAATATATCTTCAGTGAGGGTTCTAATACCTCTGTGGCTTGGAAATTTACCCCAAAAAAATATTCGGGCGCATTGCCTGTGTTCATTTAAGTACGGAGCAATCCAACATTCGATTCCATCGCATTAATCTGGTGCTATGAATTATTATATTGGCATCTGTCCTTTTTKCGTTTTTATGAGCTCTGAAAGACTCGAATGAATCTCAAACATAGTCACTTGAGCTAACTTCAGCTCCTTGTGCCTTGCAAAACATAAAATTGGAATTTATTTCGTCTTCAAACTCCAATAGAATGATATGATTCCTTGTCCGTAAATGTCAGACCTCATTATCCGTTATCTCACCTTACTCTTCAAAATTCTTTCAACGCATACTTTTGATAGCACCTCGAACGACCTTCGTCGGCTGGAGTCGGCCCATTCCTCCCAATTCTGCTTCGAAATTTTCGATTCATCATTTCCTTTTGTAGAAGGCTGAAGAGTGTTTCTAATGATGAAGGATTCTTAATTTCATTTTTCTTTCCAAATGGTACTCGCATTCCTTGAAGCATCACTTTCAATATCACCTTTATTTGATAATAAGGTAGTCCGAGTTTCATAACTCTTTGAATTTCCCCATGGAACTCGCAGAGTAAATAAAAGATTGTTTTTTTATTCAATATTTCGCCAAATACAAACGCATGTTGTTGAAAAATTGCCCAATGATTGTTTTCAGTTTCAGAGGATTCAATTCAAAATTTTCAACAAAATATTTTGAGCTGAAATCAACCACACCGATTATCGAGTTTCATAACTTTTTTTCGAACCAGAATTGTTAGTTACATTGATTTCATTACGTTCAAGCTCTTCAGATTCAGAACAAGCTCCTAATTTATTACTAGTTTTATCGGAGCACGTTTTGTTTCTATTAATACTCCAAAAGATATTTATACCCATATTTCGTTCTTTAAAGTTTTTCTTGAAGGTTATTTGAAATTTTTTCATGATTCGGTTGCATGAAGTAGCGACTGCTCGCAATTTCCTGATGTGTATGTTTTTACTTAAGTTATTCTCAATGATGACATGGTCTTGTACCCAATAAGAGTGAAATTTTCAATTTTTCTCTGCGACAGGAAAGTAATCCACCTTCAGCAAAATTTCTGATGAATTGTGGTAAATAACTATCACACGTCATATTATGTTCTAAATGTGATTACTTTCTTCGTCTCTGACTCTTTGATGGTAAACGAAAACCGAACAGTATTGGTGAAACTAAATATTCTTCGCTGTTAGTCGATCGGTTGGGTTTTACACCGTCATCTGACTAATTTTTTTTGGTAGGGAAGTCGAAAATGACATTAGAAATCTGGTTTCTCCATCCAACTGCGCATTGCTAGAAATCAGAAAGCATAACCTCATGACTTGCATGTGGCATTGTGGAAAACGAAAAGGACAATTTTCGCTTTCAAAGATAGGAAAAGTGATTACGGTGACCGCCGATCAAAATATTTTGCATTTGTATCTACCTGAGTTGATGGAAAATGGCTCATCTTAACCATCACTTCAGCTCATTCTCAATTATTGATGCCGTTTTAGAAGCAAGATGATTCAAAATCGAGGGATTGCAAAACCTTGGGTGTTGGAATTCTATCATTTTCATGAAAAGTTTGTTGCGAATGACGAAAATCCACCTCAACGTACCAACACGATAGAAAGAAACTATTGAAGCACTATAGCGGGGTCCATATTCGTGAAACCAGTTATCCTTCTCAGCTGAGTCTCATTTCCAAGTATGAGTCAGGAATTGCAAGTCTCTAGTACACCACAGATGCAGTGCGTTTCACATTCGAATTGATTCTATCGTTTCTACCAGTTATAAGAGCTCCTTATTATTCTTGCGACATGTGATATCACAAAGAGTCCACATCCAAATCTACAGTCTTCGTTGTAGCTTTGAATTTACTCTTTCTTTCGAAGATTTTTAAGTCAGGCATCAACACCCACAACAAATTTTCTCGTAAAACCATACTTTAGACACAGATGGATCATTTCCAGAATTTTGTAGTGAGAAGGTGGCCATCTTGCAATTGATAGGCGATGCTTTCTACTTCTGGTCACTGATTCTACCAATTTCTCCGGATTTCAAGAATGCCAAATACAGTCAGCAGATTGAACCAGCGAAAAAGCTGATCCACGGTCAAGGTGATGAGATATAAATATCACTACGTCTTTGATAGCAATGACGGAGAATTTCAAGAAATTTAATTTTTGATGGAGTTTGTGACGGAGCTACAGAAAAACAGAAAATTCAGATGGGACGAAAAGAATCTTTCATTCAAAGGGCWCATAKTTGCTTTTACTACGAAAAGATCCAGAAGGTGCCATTATATAAAGCGGAACTAAAACTTTTGTTGCCCKAAWTTAGAAGGCCATTCTATGGGAGTGAATGAGCATAAAAGGTAAAGAAGGTACTCTTTATCTAGGGCTAGAGCTCTGAAGCACAGATTTTATGGATTGACCAGTACAAACTAAGGCATTCTTCCACGAGGCCTGCTGAAGTTCAGCATATTGCTTTAACCTTGGTTCTTTCTCATACTTGACCTGCAAAGCGTTGGAGAGCCACCCCCTAATATCATATCTGCTGATTTTTTTCTTTGTTTCGGCTTCTTGTTATAATTGTAAACATTTGACTGAGAAAGTACGACAAATGTAACTGAAAAAAAGAGGATGGAGGTTTGTACAAGATTAAAGATTGTCAGAGCAAAGAATTCATCGAGAGGCAAGAGTGCCAACAAAGTCTCTGAATACAAATGTCTGTCATTGTTATGTTGGAAATGCTCTGATCAATACGGCAGCACATGCCAAGCTCCTCTTTTTGCCGATCGGAATTCAATAAGAAGGGATTGCATTKGCAACTACATTGAAAAGTTCTGTCATAGGAAGTACTATGACTTTGAATGGTTTGGTCTTGGAACAGGTGGCTGGCGCTCTAGGATGAGTGATGACTTGAAAGAAACAGACAGCAGTAAAGACTGGAAGCCTCAAAAAAATACGAAAATAACAGCTAGCATTGAATAAATGAGATATTTGCTCAATATTTAGGTTGAGAAATATGGCGGTTCTAGTAGTAGTAGCAGTGTCGGTACTGAACACCAGGGTGGTTTGTCAAGCAGAACAAGAACAGGTGACAATGACATAATCAGACCTAATGCCAAAACACACCAATGTTAGGGAAGTACTCGGCTGGATATTAGTATTATGATTTGACCAACGGCAGCATTGCTCTTGATCTTATATTTTTTAGTGAGGTCCATACCTGTATTCTATTTCTGTGTTGGAATGGGTAGAAGATCTTGTCTTCTTTGCTAGTAAGGTTTTTTCCTTCTTTTCTCCCTGTTGTGCAACAGAGGCTGGGTCGGTAACAAGGACATCATACTCTGACAATGGTCCTTTGCTGTCGTCTTGAAGTAAGTTGTTGTAATACTATCCAAAATGATCAGAATGTGCTTATCACCTGAAAATGACCATTTCTTGATTTTGATTTCTACGGGTACCTTCCGTGCTGTGAATGAAATGATGATCAGAAGGGAAATTTCATGATCCTGGMAAGCTTGTTCTTGGTGGCCTCACCCAAGATTGCTCTAGACTTCGCACTAGATTGAACTGGTTATGTTGTGGACAAAGCTTGAAAAGCCAATAAGAGAACATGTGGTGCTAAGCATGTAGAGCATGTAAAAACACGAAGTGTCTATAGAAGGTAAGCTTGTATAAGGGCCAAGCGTTTATAGAAGCTAAGCTTGTATGATAAGTGCTAAGCATGTATGGGTACAAAGGGTTTATAGGCCCTAAGCATGTATAGGCACTGAAATGGGAAATTTCATGATGCTACCACTGTACTTTTCGCCTRACTGAGGGTTTTCCTGTAGGCCTAGTACTGCTCTGGGGTGAAAGGTGAGTAACCAATCTACTAGAGACTAAGAGATGGAAAATTTTGAAAATTTGAGGAGTCAGTATTGCTCATTGGGCACTAGGTAAAAACTTTTTCTCAGAGAAAATGGAAAATTTCATGATCCTGACATGATCCTTTCTGACTTCACACAAGTTTGTCCTGTATGCACTGTGGACCTAGTACTGCAGTGGAGTGTGAGGTTAGTAACTAATCCTGATACTAGGATACTAGGATATGAAGAACCAAAAATATCACAATGACTGTACCACCAAAAAATTCTTGGTCCATTAAATACATAATCAACAACTCAATATATTATGAGCCTTTTGTTGTAGCAAAGATTATCATTGGAAGATTTTCATGCCATCCATGTTGATTTGAC